AGGTGCGTGGAATATGATCAATTCAGATGGATCAATGTGTGATGCACCTAGGAAGGCATGCGATGCTGTTGTAGATAGTCCTCTGGCTTACGTTTACACTGTATAGCTATACAGTGTTAACGTAAGCCAGAGGACTATCTCCACCAGCATTCGCATGCCTTCCTAGGTGATTCACACATTGATGCAGCTGAATTGATGGTATTCCACGCACCTATCAATCTTAACTATCTTTTTATTGTACAAGCTCGTTGAAAAGAGCCACATGCATTCACCCACAGCTAATGGAACTAAGATCAAACCCGTTCCAGGGGATAACGTCTTCATCAGCGTGAGGGATACCCAAGATCTTCATCATTGTGCGCAAACCTCGTCGCCATGACCTTCATCGGCGTGAGGACTAGCGTTGATCTTCGGGTTTTCATGGCGAAAGGAGAACTTGAAGGTTTTGGGGAGAGGGTAGCTTTTTTTATAGAGGGTCAACAGAGAATAAATGGTAGGGGAGATCGAGGAAAGATTGCGTCGAAAGGATGTCTGCGCTATCCTGTAGCTGAACAGGCGAAGGGATGGTGAAGTTGCCGCGTGGAATGTGGGGATAGGTAGGTGTTCAGGTTATATTAACTCTCCTCCTTGGGAACTAGGAGGAACATTGAATGCAGTAGCAGAGAATATACGCCGGTGACCGTGACAACCACACGCTGCTGAATAACAGCAAGGGACCTCTCCACATGCATTCAATAGCCACATGCATGTGGCTCCCTTTAATGAACTTGTTCAATAGCCACATGCATTCACCCACATGCATTCACCCACAGCTATTGTTGAGGTTAGTGCTCTGTTGTCAAGCTTATGTGTTGGTTGTTAAGGTTAGCTCTCTGTTGTTAAACTTATGGAATGGTAGCTAACATTAGCTCCTTGTTGTAACGCTTATAAATCTGTTGTTAGGCTTATGGATTAAGAAGATCACGGGGTCGTCGTATTGTTGATGTTATGGTTTTGTTATTAAAGATCATGGACTGGCTGTCAAGGTTATGTGCTGGTTGTCATGCTTATGGATTGGTTGCTAAGGTTAGCGCCCTATTGTTAAGGTTATGGGTTGGTTGCTAAGGTTAGAGTCCTGTTGTTAAGGTTAGTGCTCTGTTGTCAAGCTTATGTATTGGTTGTTAAGGTTAGATTTCTGTTGTTAAACTTATGGAATGGTAGCTAACATTAGCTCCTTGTTGTAACGCTTAGCTCTCTGGTGATGTTATGGTTTTGTTATTAAAGATCATGGACTGGCTGTCAAGGTTATGTGCTGGTTGTCATGCTTATGGATTGGTTGCTAAGGTTAGCGCCCTATTGTTAAGGTTATGGGTTGGTTGCTAAGGTTAGAGTCCTGTTGTTAAGGTTAGTGCTCTGTTGTCAAGCTTATGTATTGGTTGTTAAGGTTAGATTTCTGTTGTTAAACTTATGGAATGGTAGCTAACATTAGCTCCTTGTTGTAATGCTTAGCTCTCTGTTGTTAGGCTTATGGATTAAGAAGATCACGGGGTCGTATTGTTGATGTTATGGTTTTGTTATGAAAGATCATGGACTGGCTGTCAAGGTTATGTGCTGGTTGTCATGCTTATGGATTGGTTGCTAAGGTTAGCGCCCTATTGTTAAGGTTATGGGTTGGTTGCTAAGGTTAGAGTCCTGTTGTTAAGGTTAGTGCTCTGTTGTCAAGCTTATGTATTGGTTGTTAAGGTTAGATTTCTGTTGTTAAACTTATGGAATGGTAGCTAACATTAGCTCCTTGTTGTAATGCTTAGCTCTCTGTTGTTAGGCTTATGGATTAAGAAGATCACGGGGTCGTATTGTTGATGTTATGGTTTTGTTATGAAAGATCATGGACTGGCTGTCAAGGTTACAACATAAAACTTGCGGTAAAAATTACCTTTTGGGTGCTGCCACGTGCTTCTCTTCTTCTCCTCTCTGTAGACCAAGGAGCGCTCTAGTGGCATCGTTGGACGCGCCGGTGGTGCCGGTGCTGCCCTCTAGACCTTCGCGTGGGCCTACACTTAAATTTTGAGGCGGGCTTCTGGGATGAGAATGGCTGGTTGCGATGTCCTCTAGAACATCACCAATCGCAGCCCGAGCTTCAGATTCAGCCCGCACTGCAGTTGTCTGGGCTCTTTCTGAGATTTCGAACCGCTGGGCGTAATCGCTTTCGCTGTGGTCGGCATTGAGGTTGGCTTTGGGGGTTGAATCGCCGGCCATTTTGATCCCTTTGCTTTGATTCGGTTTGAGTTGGGGTCGGTTGATTTAGGGCTAGGGTTTTGAATTGGGTTTCTGGAGTCGGTTTGCTTGCAGAAGAGAGAGATGACAGGGTACGGACGAGGAGGTAACTCATAACGGGGAATTTTAAACGTAAGGGTATTTTGGGCATTTCGAGCGGGGTTTAAACGGCGTTACGCCTGGGGATTGGTTTTGGGGGCTGGAAGAAAATCGGGGGCGGTTTTGGGGGTAAAAGGAACGTTGAAAAGGTCTTGGGGGGCCAGAGCACGTTCTGTGTTGTTTTGGGGGCTGGAAGCAATTTTCCCAAAAGATTATTATGCAATAGGTTATATGTAAATCAAAGTTTGAGTCTAAAGATTCCAAACGTCCTCATCTGAAGCATTTCAAAGCTACTAGTTGTCTACTATTCCCCTCCATAGAATTTAAATTGTTTAGTACTAGAACATTTAAATTGTTTGGTACTAGAACATTTACAAATATTTCAGCTTATTAGACCATTTTTTTTTTTTTGCCCCTTTTGAGACTAATATCATCGTACATATTTGATATTTCTTACTGTTTATCTTTTGTTTTGAACCCCCCTTCAATTTCATATTTGAATTTGATAAAAGCGGTCGGTCTTTTTCTTAAATTTCTCAACTGATAACCCATAGAACTCAACCCTGATACTAATAATTTTGAGTTACAAGGGCAGTTCTGGAGTTTAAACTCAGAAAGACCCCTATGGTTTGCGTCATAAATCTATTAAGCCCCCAGACTATTATTTGGATCTATTAAGCCCCTATACTTTTTATTTTGAATCTATTTAGCCCCTATGGTGTTTCTCCATAACTAAAAAGTAGATTCAATAAGACAAAAATACCCTTTCTTTAGTTATGGAGAAACACCATAGGGGCTAAATAGATTCAAAATAAAAAGCATAGGGGCTTAATAGATCCAAATAATAGTCTGGGGGCTTAATAGATTTACAGCGCAAACCACAAGGGCCTTTCTGAGTTTGAACCCGGCAGTTCTGCTAATAATTGCTTCTACGCATTCTCCATACTGCTGGAGGCTCAGAAATAATTTGAATATGATGGAAGAAGTTACCTTGCTAGATAAAAGAGCTGCTAAGTGCAAGCAACCCATTATTGTTAAGATTGGGAAGTTAGTAAATTACTTGCTAATCAGCCATTATTTGCCTAACTTGCGGTCAAAATTTCTATTCAGAGTTAGATGACCAAATCAAACTCAGAAAATTATTTTTATTTTTATATTTCATTCACTTCTGGAAGTGTTGCCTCTGTTAAGTACGTCAGACTGCTACTTTGACAATTAGAAGGGCGTTTCCAGTTTCTTAAACTTAAAATTTAGGTGTTTTTCACGTAAACCACCTTTAAAAAAGCGGATTATATGAAACCACCTTCAAAGTTCAGTGGTTTCTATATAAACTAAGCATTCAATGTGGTTTTCGTATAATCACCCTATTTTAAAAGTGGTTTCTATGAAAAAAATTCTAAAATTTTCATGAATAATTAAAAATATGTATGTTGGACATAAGAAAACTTTATAACTAGTCATATCTTGCTAAAATTGGCTAGGAAATAGTCCAACACCTAAGTATTAAGGTATGTTACATAGGCTAACCAGTTCACGCATCTTATTATCTTGCATCTAAGTTGCATGGAAATAAGTACGGGTAAGAGCGCCAACACCATTGTACAGGAGCAAGTATCAGTGCCTGTAAGATTGTATGATAATGAAACATGACAAATTTGTAAAAAGGTAGGACACTTGGACACAAATATATAAATAACGCACATGCATGAACGCGTACACACGTAGACATGCAAATATATTATATCGAAATTAACAATTTACATGAGATTGTTATTGTTTTCGTTGGCATGTGATGGGAATTAAAATTCCTATAATATTTTTATGTTTCTTTTATTATATGAATTAATAAATAGGAAAACCACCATTTTTGAACTAGATACCCAAACAATCCTTTAAAACAATAATTCGAAATCCAACATCTGTCCAACGAGTTTTAGAAAGTGGATGTGAAGTGTAGAATATGCGTGTGTATGAGAAGTGTTGTAACTTAAAACATACATTGAATAAGTAAGTACATGCCCAAATGAATGTATTCAAATATGCAAGGAGTGTTCGAGGAGTTTGGATACGGGTATGTGTCAGGTGCGGCTTGACATATATTGCTTCTTGTATGGACTTTATACTTTGTTTGTAGATAATATAATTGGAGCCACCAACGTAACAACAACAACAACAAAAAAGATAAAAAAAAGACGGAGAGATTGTTTACGTGGCTATTCTATATCTTGTACAAAAGACATAGAATAGTCTGACATATTGTGATTCGACGGTCTCAAATGTGTAAACTGGACCCCTTTTTCGTCTTTCTTCAAGCCGAAGTCAGTTTTTAATGCTTGAACTTCACTAGATGTGCACCCAAACTGGCTTAATAGAATTCTGTATTTGCTTTTGCCCCAAAAGATCATAGATTCGGCGGTTTCTATTATTCAAGATTACGATCGTGTAAAAAAGATTATTATACAATAGGTAACTGTTAACCAACTTTGGATCTTCTAAACGTCCTCATCTGAGGCATTTCATACTAGCTTTCTTCTGTTACCGTCCGTAGACTTTTAAAATTTTAATAATACTAGAAAAATTATAAATATATCAGTTTACTTTTTTTTGACAGAAAAACAAGGGATGTACCCCGTTCATTCATAGCTAAAAAAAGTACAAAGTATTAAGTACAAAAAGTTTTGGATACGAACTGTATCTCAATGTTGGAAATTAGAAAATATAGTTTCTTATACTTAGGGATGTATAACATTCTTCTTCCAAAGATCCATGAAGACGAAGAGTGAGTCTTGCCGTCATTCATCGTTGACATAGATATAAGAAAGAACCAAAGCCAGGTATACATATAATTATCAGAAACTAGATTTTCTATTAACCAACATTAAACAAAACAAAATATATAAGATTGTTTTTATATATATACAATAAAACCAAAAAACTTCTTTCAGCTTCTATAGTGAGACTATCACTGACTTCTTCATCCACTGATCCTTGATATGAGGTTTTCCTCAAGTGCAGCTGATACCTTTAGTGCAACAGATCCACTCTTAGCTCCCGTCCAGTCATAAACACCAGAGATTGCATGATTAATGATAGATATGTATGAGAAATTAACTTGCTCAAAAAGAAATTTGTTTCTTGTGGTCCAAAGAGTCCAACAAACTGAGGAAAAGATGGTTCGCCATAGATGTCCCTCAATGCTTTTAAGAGCTTCCAACGTGTGAAGAAATTCTTCAAAGGATATAGGCCATTGAAATGGAAGATAGTATCCTTTAAAGTGATTCCAGACTTGTTGAGATATAGGGCATGAGAAGAATAAACGGTCTCTTGATTCAAACTGTGAGCCCACAAAAACAGCAATCGGAATCTCCTTGCCAACCCTTAATTAGAAGATTGTCTTTTGGGCTGACACGGTTCAATTTTGTGGCAATTGACTGCTGCCCAAGCCCCGGAATTAACACGTTGGAAACAACCAATGTTAAAAATCTCCAGCAGGGATGCGCGCTCATGTGGGATACTTGGTAGAATCTCGTGGGGAGCTACATCTTGTTAGAACTCGTCAAGGGGAGTGTGAGACCAGAAGAAGTGAGTCGCATTACGGTATCAGAGAGGGATTCTTATAAGAAAGTATGGGATGATGTGGATAATATAGGTGGTCATGTGTTCTTTTTGGATGGCTTGAAACATAACCGCGCTGGCTATGGAAAAACTTTTATTATGAATACCGTATCAACCGACAAATTATACGGTATGATGTCTATTTGTTGACTGAACATCCTTAGACAAAATTTGTGCAGGTTGTGTAATTCCCAGAAAAAGACCATAAGAACCTTCATCTTCCTAACCCCTGTTAAATTACCAATAGTCTCTGCATGAACAGTTACCATCCTTAAAAAAGTGCAAACACGCTGGATCCTTGAGCAGAATCTCACGCCGATACACCTTGGACACTAACTTCACGATGTTGTGACATTCCGTACACATCTTGACGCTCTTGATTATTTTTATAGTTCTTAATCTGGGTGTGTTGATTAGACTGAATGCTACTGCCAGTTTCTCACCATGGATCGCACCGTTGTCTTCCAACCCTTCGATGTCAAGTTTTGAACCTAGAAATCCAGGCATCATTGACGTCTTGATCTCTTCAGCCATTCCGTTAAACTCGTCCAGCTTAGGCTCCATCTCAGCAGTAGGCTTGTCACCGGTAGAAAAGGTGTGAATCTTGTTTTTAACTTCAATCCAGCAACAATCACAAGAAACTGAGGTACTATTCTCACTTTTGGGCTTCAGTTCTTTTGACAGGTCACCATCTTTCACAATAAAAGTTTGCAAATATGACAACAGTCTCTGGAATCTTGTATTATTTGGTTCCAACCTTATCAAATGCTTTGCTGCAAGGCTCGCAACCTTGAAATTGCCATGGATTCTCGCAGCAGTTAGAAGTGCATTCCATACAGCAGAGTCTGGCTCTATCTGCATGTTTTCAATGAGTTCAGAAGCCTCTCCTAGCCTTCCAGAACGGCCAAAGAGCTCTACCATTTCCCTATAATTCTCTGAGCTTGGAGTTAACTGGTATTCTTCCATCATGCTAGAGAAAAGTTGAATCCCTTCTTTCACCATTTTATCAAGACTATAGGCACGGATCACACTAGTAAGCGTTGCTTGGTTTGGCTTGACACCTTGCTCTTTCATCTGCAAGAACAAATCCCAAGCAGGATGAGTAGATCCATTGAGTACACAGCCAGAAATCATTGAGTTCCATGAAATGAGATCTTTTGATTGCAGGTTATTGAATACAGCATAAGCAAGTCTTATGTCACCAGCGTTTGAGTAAGCATTGATAAGAGCATTTGTAATAGAAGTATCAGATTGTAAATCAGTGTGAAATATCGAAGCATGAAGCTCCTTTATCTTCAATGTCGACAGTAAATTGGCAAAGGCTGGAAGGATGCCAAGAATAGTAATTGAATTGGGTCTCTCGCGGTTAGACTGCATTTGGCGAAATATAGAAAGGGCATTGTCCAAATTACCGTTCTGCAAGGAACCAGAGATAAGAGTGTTCCATGAAGCTGTATTCCTTCTGATACCATCTCTTTCCATCCTCTGAAAGAGCTCCATTGCTTGCTCCTCATCACCATTTTGTATATAACCCGACATCATCACATTCCAAGTCACTACATTCCTACGAACACCAAGAGTCTCCATCTTCAAGAAGAGTTCAAAAGCTTTACCACAATAACCAGCAAGCGTATAACCACCAATCATCGAATTCCATGTGTAAACATCTTTCTCGGAGATTGTGTCAAAAAGCCTCTCGGCATCTTCTAGCCTCCCACATTTTCCATACATATCAACCAAAGCATTCAGAACCAACACATTGGTGACACTTCCAATCTTAATGGCATAGGAATGTATCTCCTTGCCCTTCTTCAAAGATCTCAAATCCGCACAAGCCGACATAACACTAGCAATGGTCATTGCATTTGGTTTTACTTCACATAAAATCATTTCTTGGAAAAGATCCAATGCTTGGCTCGATTTGTTATTCTGAACGAAGCCTGAAATCATGCTAGTCCAAGAAACAACATCTGGAGAAACTCCTGCTCTCTCCATCTTTTCCATTAGCTCCATAGCTTGATTATAGCTTGCAATCAATATATTCCATGTAACCAAACCAGGCTCAACATTTTCATCCACCATCTGCTCAAATAGCCGAAGAGCTTCTTCATTCTCACCAAACTGACAATGCCCAGATATAATTGCATTCCAACTCACCCTATTCTTAGTCTCCAGCCTCCCAAAGAACTTTTTTGCCAGCTCCAATTCACCGCATTTTGCATACATAGCCAATATCGAATTGCTCACATGGGTCGCAACAGACGAGTCCAGGAACCCACTTCGAACCGCAACAGAGTGCAATAACCTCCCGGTCTCAACATCGCCAACATTCGAACAAGCTTGCAATATCTTTGGAAGCAAGAACGAATCAGGCACAGCCTCTTCCCTCATCATCTCGAAAAACAAATCAACAACCTCTTCCCATCTCTGCTCTCTCGAATACCCACCAATCATAGCAGACCAAGTGTAGAGGTTTCTCTCGCGCATTCCATCGAACACCTTGCGCGCCTCATCCAAGCACCCACATTTTGCATACATGCTAACCAGCTTCGTCTCTACAAATGGGTTTTGTTCGGTAACCGAGCCGATCGAAGAGTGAAGCCTCCGGCCCTCGTCAATGGCGTCGGAGTCGATGCAGGACTGAAGAAGGGAAATGTAGGTCTTGGGTCGGATTTGGGTGCCGTTTTCGAGGGCAGAGATGGCTTCTTGGAGAGTTGCGTTGTGAGAGAGATGGGTTGATTTGGAGATGGGTCTGTTGTGGGATGCTAAGTGTTTGGGGTTTTGGGCAAAGGAGGTTATGGGTTTTGAGGAGGGGGTTGTTGGTTGGGGTTTGATGAATGCAGGGATTGGGGTTGGGAATTGGGTTTTGGGTTTTAGGGGAAGAAGAAGGTTCTCCATTGGACAGAAGAGAGCTCTCTCTCTCTCTCTCTCTCTCTCTCTCTCTCTGTGTGTAACTTACTCGCTCAAGGTTCTGTCAGCACTAAAAATGGAATTATCCGTCGGAGGAAAATTGGAGGGAGAGAGAAGGGACAGCGGGAGAGGATATTATAAGACTAAATAATCCCCCAAAAATATAAGAAAAATTGCTTCAATATCCCAAATTCCAACTTCTAATGTGCCCCAGCCGCCCAACTTTAACTATGTATTGCAGCCCCATTGTTTTGAAAAAAATTGTGTCTAGGCCCCTCTTCCTAAGTTCCAATGCAAACTTCATTCAAAATTCTAATTTTACCCTCCTCATCCTCTAGTCCTCCTCTGCCGCCTACACCCCCTCTTCCTCCGGTCCCCCTCTGCCGCCTCCCCCGCCTCCCTCCCCAGCTCCGCCTCCCTCTCCCGCTCCGCCGCATGCGCCTTCCCAAGCACCGCCGCCTTGTTAGAAAATCTCAGATACTTTCTGATATCCGTTCTGCGGAATTTACCCTACCGCATCTTGTGTTAAGCAATGGAAAAAAGAAATCACAACAAATCTAACAATAACAAGAACATAGAACACCGAGTTTTAACGAGGTTCGGTAATTTGCCTACGTCCTCGGAAGCCACACAAATAATTTCCTTCATATTAAAAAGAAGATTACAAAGCTTGTAAAAGAGTAGATCTCAACTTGAGGTCTCTCAAAAGAAAGAAACAGAAAACTCAATCTGTTCTCTTTCAAAAGGGCGTGAGATTTTACAACAGTAAAATCTCCTCTCAAGTTTCGCTGAGAAAATCGCTACAGGAACTCATGAGAATTTTCCTCTGAAAATTCTCTCCTTTAATGGCCGCCGACAAGAGTAAAAGCTCTGAGAAGAAAATCGGGGCTCTCTCTTTCTCTCGTGCACAGGGTTCCCTTAAATAGGGAAACCCTAGGGTAAAAGAGGAGTGCGATCCAGCTGGATCCAACACAGCGGGCAAAAGGGGAGTGCGATCCAGCTGGATCCAGGTGAACTTCGCCTTCTCCTCCACGTCTGCAGCAGGCGAGAGTCCCTCTCCACACACAGACGATCTTCACACCTGTTCGAGCTCGCCTGACTTTGCTCAAACCCGAGCTCGCCCGTCCTCTATCAAATCCGCCTGTAGTCAAACTTATTTTAGTTCATTTTTCAAATTTTAAGTAGACTAGAATTGAACCACCCTTAATTTACCTGGTTCAATTCCGGTCTGGTCAGAAAATAAAACTAGATTGGCCTATTTTCCGTCAAGTTGCCAAACAGGACCTAAGAGAATTTTGCAATGCGCCCTTCAACTTAAGGAGGTTTTGCACAAAATCCCTCCAAACTTAAGGGGGTGTGCTTTCGACCAACTATGTATATATATTGTTTCAATAAAAACACAAAGGAAAGCAAAAAAAAAAAAATGTAACACTCAGATAATATTATGACTCAACTATACATGTTGCTAGCTCTTGGGCTATGCTTTTGAGAGCTACGTATACATATAGCATACAGGTTCTGAAAGCAAGTTAGGAAAGGAATAGCTTCTCAAGGAATCCTGTAAGAAGGTAGTCACATTTTGACACGATCAAAGTCACCTTTTCCATTAAAGGAAGTAATTAAGGAAACAAACACGCTTATTCCACAATTATCTTGAACAGATAATTGGAGTTGCTATTTGTTTGTATCTTGTCGATTGGGTCTCGTAGCTAGGTACGTACAAGAGCAATCCATTATTTTGTATTAGGATTAATAATTTTTAAAATGCCAATAAATGCAGCACAATCTCCAAGTGGGGGTTTGAATACATATTTGAATTCTATTTTAGCATCCATGTTTTTATATCCATGGATATTAAGATTTTATTTTGGTTTCTTCGCTTACGGGATATTATTAGTTCAAATACGTATTGAATTCTATTTTAGTATCCATGTTTTTATATCATTGTTTTTGCTAATATCTGATATTTAAAAAAAAAATCTGAAGGTGTATCTAGCAACAGGTTCATTGACCGGGACCTTACAATTAAAAACACTGCTGCACCGTCAAAGTACCAAGCAGTCACTCTTCGTGCCAAGGGGCAGATCCAGAAACTTTAGTCAACGGGGCAAAGCTACAAGTATAATTAGTATATGATATCTTTATCTAAATATTAAGAACATCAGTACTAACTGTTATGGGGGTTTACCCTTTTTCGTAAATAAATATTTTACAAGTCGACATCTCGACCAATGGGAGAGACAATTGTTATGGTATTCTCAAAAGCCAACAGCTTTGGTACTCCAAAGCAGTTGGTGTAATTTGTTTCCTTAAAAATCTCTCTCACATCCTAAATTTGAGGGATAAGGTAGTTGACAGTAGTTCCACACCCAAAAAAATAATTTCACTTAGATAAAAAGGTTATTTTAGGAAGTATAAATAAGAAGAGAAATAAGAAGTATAAATCAGAGCAAATTAGGAAATAAAATTAATGTTAAGTTGGTAGGAACTGATTTGTTTGTTAGAATATCATGATACATGCATGTTTAGCTCTTCACATATTTAACAAAAATTGAGGTTTTTTCTTGGGGTTATTTACAATTAAACACCCCACAATTTACACAACTTGTAACTTTAGTACTCTCTTGCCCAATAAATACCCCAAACTTAAATCATTTATTATTTTGATACCTTGTAACTTTAGTACTCTCTTGCCCAATAAATACCCCAAACTTAAATCATTTATTATTTTGATACCTGAAAAAAAAAATTCTTGCCCGAAATGAACCGCAACATTCAATAAATTTTTACTTTGATATCCTAGCCATGATTTTTTTTATTTTAATATCACAATCTTTAACTGGAAATTAATGTTCGGATATCAAAGTTAAATTTTGTGGACTCTGAGGCATTAAAGCTATATTTTATTTAATTAATGGGTTTTTCTGGCAAAACTAAATTTGGGGTATCAAAGCAAATTTTGTTGAACTTTGGAGTATTTTTGGGCAAAAATGAACTTTGGGCACCAAAGTTTAAAATGAGGAAAAGTTTGGGGTATTTAAGTGCAAATAACATTTCCCCCTTAAAAACGCTTTTCTTTGGAAAAAAAGTTCCACGAATTTTCTATAAAAAATAGTTTTTGCTTTATTAAAATTTCATGTTATTTTCTTATCAAAATAGTGAGTAAGAGAAGGGAGGATTTCTCCTCTTTTGCGTTGCTAATTCAAACTGAGGTTGAATAATAGGAATGATCTAATCTAAACACTAAGGACAAAACTACCCATTTTGTTCTTCTGCCTATTTTCGAATTTTTTACTATTTTTAAATTATAAAAATGCCTAATTTCGGAGTATCAAAGCAATCCTCTTCTCAAAAAACGACAGTACAAGTGTATTGCTACTTATAACGCCTCAACTAAATTGGCGGTCAAAGACCAGCTAGGAGTCCAACACAACCGACTCGACGAGCCGACATCCCTCAATATCGACTCGAAAGACGGTACCAGACGGCTCTCTCATCAAAAGTAACTCGCTAGGAACCATATCAATCCAGTCGAGTCAACGGCTTTTTGAAGACGACTCGAAAGGCGATACGAGTCATCGTGCAACCCAAATAAGTCGACCCTCCTCACAAGTCCCATCAGGAGAGACATTGCTTATCGGCGAAGCTAGAGAATCCTCTATGAAGCTTATCTATTCTGACACAAGTCACATCATATTCATAAATATACTATGCGTCATCACGCCACTTGTCAACCTCTGGAAGCTTTGACATCCTCTCGATCGCTCCTCAAATCGAAGCCGAAGTGATTTCCCTTCTGTCGTCAGCCGATACGTGTAGAGTAAAGGATGACTCAAACTTCCAGCTCGCACTTTGTCACCGTCATTGGCATGACCGAAGTGACCAATCTGCCCCCATCATCTCTATAAATACAGGCACACCATTCGAGCTAGCAAGAGGTTCGCAATCTACAACCCTCTAATACATATATCGTATCTGAACGAGAACATAGTTCTTTGGATTACCTCACTCAAGTTCATCTATTGACTTGATTGTCGGAGGTATCAAGGGGGAATCACACCCCGCCCTCTAACGACTTCTTTATATACAGATCGCTCAGTCATCCTAACTCATGGACCAAGCATAAAGTCGAAGAAGAAAGCGACCCCTCTTTTTTAGTGAAATTTTGTGACTCTAATTGGCGTGTGAACCATTGCATCAACACCAACTATGGGTGTATTTTTTAAATTATCAAGGGCCTGGGCAGTCAATGGGGGCAAAAGTGTATAGGAAAATTGATACGAGGACTTAATATTGTAACTGCTCAAAATTATAAAATAAATATAAAAATATATTTTAACCATGATTTCCATATAAAAATAAAGGTTAAATAATATTTTTAAAAATGATTGACAAAATAATTTATAAAATTGTGTGTGCCGCTAGAGTATATATATTTTTGTAGACTTTTAAAATACATATAAAGTAAGGGGAAATTGTGTCAATGCCCCAAATTCTAACTTTCAATGTGTCGCAGCCCCCCATATTTTTTTAATGTACTACAGCCCCTTCTTTTTGAAAAAATTGTGTCCAGGCCCCTCCATCATGATTCCAGCTCATGCCAGCGAATGATTAGACATGTCAGCTCATGATTAGACATGTCAGTTGGCTTAAATCCCAAATTTATCCTCATTTTTCTCATGCCAGCGGATGTTAACTCTTACAGTTAACATGTTAACTGTAAGAGTTAACATGTTAACTGTAAGAGTTAACATGTTAACATGTTAACATGATAACCATGACCGCCGCCGCCCACACGAAGTTCCTCGGGATGTTGCCGGTGGCGGAACGGGGGAGGGAGGTGGGGGAGGGGGCAGAGGGAGACCAGAGGAGGAGGAGGGAGGTGTAAAGAGAGGTAGGCGGAGCTGGGGAGGGAGGTGGGGAAGGCAGTAGAGGAGGACTAAAGGAGGAGGAGGGTAAATTCGAGATTTTGGATGGAGTTTGCATTGGAACTTGGGGAGAGGGGTCTGGGCACAATTTTTTCAAAAAAATAGGGCCGCAGCACATTGTTGAAAGTTAGGGGGGCTGGGACACATTAAAAATTAAAATTTGGAGCCTTGAAGCAATTTTCCCATAAACTAATCCAATTTGAATGAATTTTAGAAAAAAAAATGATGTAACTATCCG